TCAGGATACAGAATGGCGATTTCTTTCACTCGAGTTAACATCTTTATAATAACTGCATTTTCAAGTTTTGAAAAACAAAATGATCGAGATATGTAAATTTTGTTTTTGAAAAAAAAGAAAAAAAAAGAAAAAAAAATCTTTCAACCGTGAATGTTTTGTTTTGCTCTTTTTCAGGTATGCTCGGCTTATTATTTGAAATAAAATAATAAACTAAACATGCGCGTGAAAGTGTACTGATACCTCATTGAGAGCACCCTAAAGCGTACTGATACCTCATTTAGAGCACCATAAAGCGTACTGATACCTCATTGAGAGCACCCTAAAGCGTACTGATACCTCATTTAGAGCACCATAAAGCGTACTGATACCTCATTTAGAGCCCCCTTAAGCGTACTGATACCTCATTTAGAGTACCATAAAGCGTCCTGATACCTCATTTAGAGCACCCTAAAGCGTACTGATACCTCATTTAGAGCACCCTAAAGCGTACTGATACCTCATTTGGAGCACCCTAAAGCGTACTGATACCTCATTTAGAGCAACATAAAGCGTACTGATACCTTATTGAGAGCACCATAAAGCGTACTGATACCTCATTTAGAGCACCCCAAAGCGTACTGATACCTCATTTAGAGCACCCCAAAGTTTTCCAATACTGAAATTTAGAGAACGCTGATCTTCAGAGGAAAGTTGTGGCGGTCATGCGATAAGAAAATTAAGCTCGACGTTCCGTCTCGATTAATTTCCTATGATTGACCCTTGTTGTCGCCCCGGCCGGTAAATATATATTCTATAACTAATACATACCATGGCCTTGGGGCGGCATCTCGGTGTTTCCCTACAGTAAATGTTCTCGGCCTTACGGCCTCGATCTTTTTATGCAGAGAAACCCCCTCGATGTCGCTCCAGGCCATGATATTTCCACATAACAGTCTCGTCGCTATACTATAACTATAACTTTTAGCCTGTTTAAGGTTATTTTAAAGAACAGAAATGTCAAAAAATATAAAAGTTTGACATTATGTTCCATAATAATGTGTCAGTCATTTGAAAACTTTATATACGGGTCAAAATATCAGGTTAAATACTAATGCTTTACTATCATGTTTCAGTCGTTACTTACAGCTTATTAACACCTCACACTTTTTAACTACCAACTTTTTTTAACAATATACCCGTTTTAAGATCTAAATATAGATGTTTGTAAATCAAATACCTGTGCATTTTTTTTATTAAATCATCTGTAAGCTAGCGTCATCTAGCAGGGATAATTCTAGTACATTTTGATAACTTGTTATATTTAATTCCTTCCAAATAATCTGTGAACAAAAAACTCAGCATAGATTATCAAAACATAGTCTTGTTGTTCATTTGTAGGAAACCATAATTGATTTGATCTATTACCGAGTAATAATTGGTCAATACTTGTTTGTTGCCATCTTATTGCAAAAGACAAAAAAGACGTGCAAAATGTCCACAGAGTAGTAGTAGGTTCGTGAGTCAATATAGAGGTGATTGTCATCATATTATAATGGAAAGCAGCAAATAATACAAAACAACCAAATCTGACATTTCCTGACAGACTGTTTAGAACTTTATCGACCAATAATCCCTTTTATGCAAGTTAGGCACAAAAGTGACTGAAGTTCATATGTGCATTGTACAAAATCTCTTCTAGTAACACAATGCTGAATTAAATAACGCTTCGCTATGGAATACAAAACATGGGGCTGTTGTATTTCAACATTAGGTCCTTTGAAAGAAAGTCTAAGCAGCCAACAGGTTTGATATAAAAGTCTAAATGGTGTGATTTGTGTATTCCCCCATAAAACGGCATTTTATGGCCAACTAGGGAACATTCCTTTTAGTCGTTGAATTATTAACATTACTTATTAAATTGGGCTAACGTATTGCAATGTTGTTTAGAGATGGAACTGTTTTACGAAAGTTTTTTTACAATGATTTCAAACAGATGGGTCTACTTGGTCGGAGTCCTATATACCCAATCGAGACTTCCACAGAGGAAGCACATTTTCAAATTAGTTTTTTTTTATACCATTATAATACTAGTATAATCAAGTGTTGAAATTCATAAGTATATATGTGTAGCTAACCTTGGGCTTTTAACATCGTGCTCAATATGGTGTGTATAAATAAATAGATCGCTACCCATTAATAAACAAATAAACAAATATCTTCTTGCGCTTTAAAACCGATTTTATATTGCCGAAATATAGACCTTAGGAAGCATTCCTAAGGTAATAAAAGTTTTGCACTTTAATTTATGACTTGTTTTCTTATTCTACACAACATTTCTGTTTAACCCTAAATAAAGGTATAAAAGGAATTGTTTCTTATGTATAAAGTGAATTGTTTCTTATGTCATACCAGTAATAGTTAAGGTCTTCTGCACAAACCTTACTTTTACCTTTTCTGCACAGATCAGGGGAAGTAATCGTTGCTGAAACACTACACTTCTCGAAGCGGTTACTTCCCCTGATGAGTACAGACAGTACAAAACATGCAATGTAATACGAGATTGAAATATAACACGGCTGTTGTAAATCAGTAAGTTGATATTTATTCTTAAAGGGGTAGATGGGTTTTTACTAGTGTAATATTTTCTAAACTTTGATAACAGTAGAAGACAGTCCCTTTATTTCTAACAGGCGACTACCTTTGATAGTGAAAAAAACACATAAAAAAACAGTATTCTGCAAACAAGGTAATATTATAGTTCACTACATGAGTACCATATAGCTGTCCATTATCAGTTATTCCAGATGAATTCAAATGATTATTGGCTCCTGGTCCACTTAAATAAAATGAATATATTTCACTTAAAGACCTGAAAGAACTACAGAAAAAGTACTGTTTCATGTGAATGGGCGCATTGGGAAATATTATTTCAATCACTTATCAATGCTTCAGAGTGGACTGTCTAAACAACTCTAATAAATTTTAGGACGAAACATTCATTTCAAGTTTACTCACTTCTAATCACTTGATATATATGGTTCGTATAATGAAGGATATAAACTATCCTTGATACTTGAAAATATGATTACAAATCGTAAAATAAATTTTCAAATGTGTCCATACATTCTTAATTGGTGTGGTTTTTAGAAAAACACACAATGCATTTAAAGAGAAATATTATATATAAGTAATAAATTGGAACATAATAAAAAAGAGTGTTCTGTATTAATTAAAAAAGCAGCGTATTCCGTACCATCTTAATATAATTTTACAAAAATATGCCTAGGTTTAATATATGTATTGGTGAATAAGTGACTCTATAATATTTTTATATATAATTATTTCTGTCAAACATTGATAAATGACTAAGGACTTGCAAGAAATCGCTTGTTTTAATCTTCGAGCGTGTACCGTACCCCTCGGTCGCACCTATTAAAAATAACTGTACTAGATTACTCTCAGAAACTATTCAGGGGTTTTCTATGTTTTTGTATTCCGTTGGAAGCTTCTACAATCACGGGTACTATGCGTATGCCTCTTGAAATCCGTTTAATAATAGCAAATATACCTGAATTGGGCAATCGTGAGTTCTGTATCCTTTAGGTCACGTGGTATCACCTCACTGCACTTGGACGATAGCGCCACAAGTTTATAGAAAGCTATGCATGTTTGTTATAATTTAACAATAAAATACGAAGTTACGTCCCGGCAGTTCTTATCTTACTTTCAAGCATCGATATCATTGGTCTATCTTTAGTAAGAATCATATTTTTCATATCATTTTTTTTTATACATTATGCTTTCGTAAATATCCAAACATTTTGAATTGCTTATCTTCTCCTGAAAATACTTTCGTATCGGCTGCATGTTTCCCAAGACTTTGGTTTGAAGTTCATTGCCTTTGTATTTAGTTTGTTTCGCATGTGTATGATCTGATTGGAAGATTTTCTCAGCTCCTCAGGGAATTCTTTCAAATAATATATTTTCTTATGCATTACTAGTGTATTTCTTCACTTGTTTTGATTTCGTCTAGGATAATGAAAACTAATTAAAGTAAATGTTTTTGGCAAGAAACAATAAATGGTCGTCTATTTGACGGAATAGGAGAATTTTTCTACGTCACTGTTTCAACTGTGTTAATTTTATTTTTGTAAAATTGTTATTTTTATATATATAATTACATAAATGTCATTTTTGACACTTATTTGTTTGTTTGAGGAATTTGCGGTACATGACCATCGGCCTTAAAACACCTGATAAAATAATTTCTAAGATGGCCCATTTTTAGTGATCATGGACCTACTGCCCTGATGCTTTGCCTTACTGATTTTTTTTCTGTTCGTTAATGAAATTAAAGCCTTGCCATGAAAATATCTATATATCACAAGTCATACCCAATAGAGAATATGTTAAATGCTCTCCGTCGAACATCAAGGTCATGGCATGTTCTGAACAATGGCATGCGGTTCAAAACAGGTGTTGACGGTTCCATAATAATCTCCGTATTACACATTTGCGAATGTTTCTGAACTCAAAATTTAATCATTTCAATGTTTATATATTAGTCTGTTGATGCATGTCGACATACAATACGATATACGCTTCCATAGTTATCGCTATTATCTTTTGTACTACTCCTATATTATTACTGAATAGGCTATTCACATAAATTACCATTTGATTAACAAATGAATAATTTTCGGAATATGTTATGGAAGACTCTATGAACACACGGATAGGCTAAACTACGGACAAATTTACCAACAATAAAAACCTTACACGTTCTTATTGAAAAAGTAAGTTTAAAGAATAAATGAGTGCAGCCAATCTTAGATCATCTAACATAACAATTGTGTCAAAGTGAAAGATTGCAAATATGGTCTTTTATTGAATTTAACATTAGAAAAATTAATGTGATCAGTTGTTTTTGCTTTAAGTATCCTTTTAGTAACATTATTTCCATTAGCAAATATGCTTGAATAATTAATGTATGTATTATTTATGTATTATTGTCCTTTTAGGCGTTAACTACCTTTGTGATGAAGTACAAGAGTATCAGATAAACATAGATGATGAAAATCATACAGTTACATTCCTCAGATGTAACGAGTCTGATATACCCAAAGCTTGGCTAAACAGTGAGGTAATTCAGTATTAATATACAATGCATTTCATTCGGCTAGTATTTCATAACTGCTTAACTTAAATACTTCATATACATATAAATTATATAATGGAAAATATTTTTACTTTAAGTGGGCCTACATCAAACCCTAAAATTTTGCCGATATTGTGTTGCGGAAACGAATATTATTTTTGTTTTGTTGAAGTGCAGCCGTTAACAAAGTGTTAAATTAGAAACCAAAACCAGCTCATTTAGCGAAACCTACTTACATATATACTTTACAGTTTAATTCACATTTTACTTTAAACTTTAAGACTTAACTCTAATTTTAATATTTCTTATTTCAGTTATTCTCTGTCAAACACAATTTCATGAGTAGTTAAACGTTAATTTATTATGATTTGGAAATTTAAGGTTTTGATAGTACTGTTGGTCATACATCATACTGTCATATAAATCGGAATAACTTGTTGCTGAATGTACAAAAATGAAGTTTTCTGCCTCTCAATATTGGAATAAAATATGATTTTATACTTACTAGCAGGTTGCTAGCAGTAACAGAGAGTTTGGTAACCATCACCAACACGGTATGATGATGTTTTTTTTACTTTTCGGTGCAAAAAATAAAAGTTAAGTACCATGTTAAAACGGAACTGTATAAACGAGCGCTGTTCGAAAAGAATTGCTTATTGTCCTCTATCTCGTGATCCACGTGGGACACAATAAAAAACAATACATACCTGTATAGGGCAATTCAATACCTACACAACGTTTTATAAATTTACATGTTAGACTAAGTGTAAGACATACAATTTGCCATTTAAATACACGCAGTCATTGACCACTATAGTAAAAATGGTTGGTAGAAGCGTAGACAAATAGATGAAATACGTGCTTACATCAAAACTCGCTCAAAACTAGGTTGCTCTTTGGAGCAGTTGATGACTGAACTCTCTACTGCTTATGGGCCTTCTTGCGTGTATTATGACACAGTTAGGCGATGGAAAAAGAAATCTGAGTCTGGTGTAGAGTGCATCAAAAATGCACCAAAATCAGGTAGGCCAAAATCTGTATCTCGTAACAAAATCGTTTCCAAAATAAAGATATCATTGAAGAAGATGCCAGATTTACAGTTTGTGATATTGCACGAAAGGTAGGCATATCACTATCAAAGGTTCACTTTATTTTGAAGAAGCTTTTGAAAGTCAGAAAGATTTCTGCTAGATGGGTGCCACATCTGTTGACCGATGAGCAAAAGAGGCAACAGGTAAAGGTGGCCAAAAAGCTGCTTCAAATGTTTCCAAAATATGACAAAAAAACAAACCTGTCGTGACAGGTGATGAAAGTTGGGTCCATTATTTTGAGCCCGTCATAGAAGTTAGCAACAAAATCTGGGCCACTAAACACAACACACTCCCAATAATTGCTAAACAGTCTTTGAGTGCTAAGAAGGTTTTGTATGAAATGTTCTTCTCTGGTGAAGGAGTCGCAATAAAAGTGCCGGTGAAAAAGGGCAAAAGTATCACTGTGAAGTACTACAAAGACGAAGTACTTAAGAAACTGAAAAAGTATTATAAGAAACGACGCCCTGTCACTAGTTTTAAGCATATCCGTCTTCTACATGACAATGCCCCCGCTCATACCTCCGCAATATTTTCGGCGTTTTTGAAAAAAGAAAAAGTAACTGTTTTGCCTCTCCCCCCGTATTCTCCAGACCTTGCCCCTTGCGATTTCTTTTTGTTTCCGAAATTGAAATCCTTCCTTGCTGGGCGGATATACAAATCCCGACAGGCACTTTGATCTGTCATTCATCAGTACCTTATTACTGTGCCCAAATCAGCGTACCGTGACGCCTTCAAGAAGTGGATACATCGGATAAAACTTTGCATTTCTAGCCACGGGGAGTACTTCGAGGGCATGAAATGAACACTTTTGAGCTAACTTGAAATTTTACGTCTCCAGATAGAAATAAGCAATACATTTCGAACATCCCTCGTATTTTCCTTCTAACAAAGAAATTACAATCATAGAAATCATTCTGTATATCACTTTATAATTGACAGATGAAGAAATGCAATTCAAAGTAATTACGAATTATTCGTTCTTAAAATCTTAATGTCATTGTCGTCTTTGAAACCTTATTTTACTCTTTGTAATAGCTATGAAATAATTACATTTAGATAAGTGTATGATGAAAATGAATAAAACGCTCACTTTACAGAATATATTATGTAGAATAAATTATATTCAACAATGTTCATTATATACAGTCCCTTTAGTAAAAAGTATTGAATGTATCCTAAAAAAAACCCAAATAAAAATCATGTAATTTTATTACATCATTGATTATTTTCCAATGTAGTTAACACTAAGTTGCTGAATTTATTTCTATTTTCTAGGTACTTTCCTTGGTCTAAAAACATCACAGTACACATCGGAAAAAGAATTGCATGTGCAACAATTCCAGAAACCAACTGCTAAGGCTAAATTATCAAATTTACCTAAGGCTACAGATAACGACTTCTTAGAGCTGTATTTGGAGCAAGAATTAGGAAATGAAGTCGCAATTGAATCTATAGAATTATGTGGAAACGGCACTGAAGCAATCATTGAATTTCAAAGGAAAGAAAGTATGTAATCATTGACATTTTATCCGTATAAAAAAAATATTACAGTTAGTATTTATTTGTTCTTTTTATTTTGATATATAATTAGACTCATATATTTTTGGGAAATATCGAAGTAGCAAACATAAATAAGTTTCTTTTTACACTAATGATAATTTATGACTAATTATTTTCCATAAGTTACAAATAAGGAAAAGTCTATAAACCTAATCACTCTTTCAGTGTATGATGCGTTAATGCAGAAACAGCCTTTAGACATGGAAGGTCAGAACATATTTGTAGAACTTATAGAATCACAACCATTACTTCAAGGTGACCCTAAAACAATAGAGGTTACCTCCGACAAAGGAATAATAACAGAAAATACCGCACGGACTATTCGTCTGTATTTTGGAAATCATGGTCGTTCTGATGGAGGGAAAATAGTGGAATTCAAATTTGTCGCAGATACAGAAACCATTCTGATAGCATTTGAATCTGCAGAAGGTATATTGACTTTTAGAAATAGTTCAATCATGTTGAAGTACATTTATACATTATAGTTTATGAACCTATAAACTACATGTATTATAAATGTTCAATCTGCGATTCATGTAGCAATTGATGACGAATAATATTTATTTTCAGTTGCAAAAGCTGTATCTGCTCGAAAAGATCATAGATACAAAGACGCTTTGCTAAATGTTGTTCTGGTAGATGAAGACCTGCTCCAAAAAAGAGCAAACGAGGACTGTGAAAAAAGGAAACGAAAATCTATACGCATCACAAATGTACCCTATGAAATCGACAAAGATACTCTGGAAATGGTGTTTGAGGATGCTGAGACATTTGGAGGGAATATTCGCGTTGTCGATGTTAAACTAGACCCTAAAAGTAGCAGTGCAATCATACAGTTTGAAGAGGCCGATGGTAATTATCATTATCATCACGTTTGTTGAAAATAGTAGTATTTATTTTAAGTTATTTAATAAAAGTTCTAGTATTCATTTACACACAGTCGCTGTTGTTAAATTGTACCTCGAGAAATTCTGATATATTTCCCATCTTGTACAATACAGTATCCAAAGATGCGCATTATCGTTTCCATGTTACGCAAGGAGGAAAAAAGATAATGACAAAATTGTCCGAATGACTTTTGTCCTTCTCTGCATAAGTTGTCTTATTTGAATATACGTGTTTCGTTCAGCATTACATTGCGTAGTGAAAATAATATTCAATCTAACTTTGATAAATGAAATATAGACTAAATAGATTGTTCTGAACATTGAGGGATAAATTTAGACAGTACATGGCTTGGCACCTCGTTAAAATATATTCCATACAGTACAGGTTAACGTTATGTCATTTTGAAAAAAAAAATGTTTTTTCATTCAGTGAGGGTATTATTTTGCTTATACCGCAAAAATCTTCAGAAAACTAACTTATTTCTGACTAAACAATACTGTAAAAGAGATGCGCGTGCATTTGTTGTTTTTCTTCAGAGCAACTAGATACCGTGCATAAAAAATAACAAGAATATTGCGCTTAAGCATGAACTTTTGACAAAAAGAATGCAATTTCCGATGGCCTTATTGTGAAATGCAAATGCTTTCAAGTACATGTATGTAAATATATGAAATCAAAGATCAACATGTGAGATACAATGTATAGGAACGCAGATCTCGCCCTAGAATGGCATATAATAATTATTTATTAACATCTACAATATGTAGTATTAACAATTCAACAGGTCTTTACTTTACCTTAAAAATTAAACTAGTCCCATTTATTACAATCTTAAACATATAAAAACATATCAGCTTTTTTTTTTTAATCTAAGAACATTTTTTTTCAAGTTAGAGTTACTTGTAATGTTTTGGCTTTTCTTGAGGCATGCAGCTTAAAGGATTATAATATTTCCCGGAAAGTTCATTACACAATATTATAAACTAAACTGTGCATCTATCAAATGTAGCAGGGACACCATTTTGATGTGCAATATCCTATTGTATTTTATTTTAAGACGTAGAAAGAATACTACAGAAGAAGCAAGTTGATATCGAGGGACAGACTGTACATATTGAACCTATCGAAGACGGTAATCTAGAAGAACCTTGCACTGTTGTGGTAGCGGGACCAACTGACCTACTCACAGAGGATAACATCAAATCACTCAAAATGTATTTCAATAACAAGAGACGATCAGGGGGAGAAGATGTCATTGGTTGCTGCGTCCGGAAACCTGGCTCGGTCGAAGTTACATTTAAATCTAGCAAGGGTAAAAATGAGTACTCCAAGATATACAAATTTATATGTAAAGATGTAAGATGTAAAGAAGAATACACTGGGTAAATTTTATCCTGTATGAAGTAGTTTATTTTAACAAAATACATTCTTTTAAATGTTCCATATTCAAATAGATAAATATTTATAATGTTGACTTTGACTGTGTCATGTCACATACTACTACAACTAAAATGGTTGTGATGATGCTGATGCTAATATAAAATGAAAGACAAGTAACACAGTTCATAAAGGAGAACTTTGTTATGACATGTCAAAAGACAGTGGATCAGGCCTTGCTCCGCCTTTGTTTTTTTTCAGTTTCTAGGGATAATCGGGCAAAATAATGACAAAAATTATTATAATGATTTTTTGAACGCAAAACATACTAAAATAACATTTTTGTAAAGCCCCAACATGATTTTCTTGAAGATTCTTTATATTTTTGATTTGAAGAATAAATACATCTATATATGTTGAACAAAATTAAGACGCCGAAAAAATCACAGAGTAGGTTTAAAACAAGTCATGTTATGTAAACAAACCCTGGAAGTTAAAATAACAGATATTGTGGATATTGTATGATTTAAACAAGTCTAAGTCATTCTTTAAAGTTTCCAAAATTCTCTGTGACGACTATTGTAAAATCTTAACGCTCTAACCTGACCCACGTGGGTCAGATTAGGAAATCACCATTTTATTCTTTGTAAGGAGTAAAATTTTGTGCCTGTGATTGCCTAGTATATTTATTTTGAAGTCATTTACAGAATTATGAAAAAAATCAAAACAAAGGAATGATAATTTTCCCTGAGTCTACCTTTAACACTTTTTATCTGTTAAGTCATAAAATTACGAATAAAAATTCCTATTTACTATAAATTTTCAATGCTTTAATAAGACTTACAGGATCTTTATTCGTGTGGCAATGGTTATAAACGTAAAAGTTTTATGATTGGGACATTTGCCGCACTGTGTAATAATGTTAAGTCTTTATTCATTAAGCAGGTGTGTGTGTGTGTGTGTGTGTGCGCGTGTATGTGTGTATTTGTGTTTGTGTGCGTGCCCCCCCCCCCGCGCGCGCGTGTGTTTGTGTGTGATGGGGGTGTCTGACCCCTAAGTGTCAGTGAGTAAGCACACCATCTGATTTTACGTCAACGTCTTTACTTCTTTAGGCTTTCTTTAAATTTGAATTTGAGTTAAAAATACTGTTAGAGGATAAAATAATTTATATTATTTTTAGTTGCAAAACATGTCGCAGAACGAAACAATCACATGTTTAAATCGTCACGAATCGATGTGAAGTTGATGGAAAACAAATCTGATATTTTATCTCCCGACAAGTCAAATAAGTTGCTTTTCTCGGGCGTTGATAAAGCAATTAAAGATATTCTTGTCCTTTACCTCGAGGACATGTTTGAAAATCTACACGTTAAAGCTGAAATTCCTAGTGATGACGATTCAAAGGTCATACTGGAATTCCAAGACTCAAATGGTGTGAAATAGTGAATAAGTAAGACAGTTAAAATATGTTAAAAGTGCATAGGAAAGAGAGTATTTCAAAAGTCAATTTTGACTTTCTTGAAAGCATATAAATGTACATAATTGATATACCATTTTCCAAACTTTGCAAATAACTTTTAAAGGTTTCTAAAAATTTCTACATAAATTATATTCTATTCAAATAAATAAATCACACAGAATGACAGAAGAATGTTCGAAATAACTGTACTTGTTATAAATTGTTTAACTAGTAAGAATCTATAATTTGTAGGCGCCCAAATGATTTTGCAAAGGCAACCAATATGTATCGAGGGGCATTACGTTGACGTTACGTTATATACAGATGAACCAGAAAAACAATGTACGATACAAGTTCAAGGCCTTCCAAATATTGAAGAGAATATAGATGCATTACGGATGTACTTTAAAAACACCAAACGTTCTGGAGGAGGAACCATCGTTCATTGTGAGGTTGACAAAGGCAACCATGCTGCGCTTATTACATTTGAAACTGAGGAAGGTAATTGAAACTAACAATCAGTTATTTAAATACGTTATTATTAAAAAGAATAAATGACAAAATACATGGCAGCAAACATATTTTAAGAACTTGATATTAAACATTTACTATTGTGGAATCAAGTTAGACTAGTATTGAATTGGTTTGTTTTCAGTCGCTCGTTTGGTTGTAAATCGCCCTAAACATGAGTTGAAGGGTACAGTGTTGGAAGTAATATTATATAATAAGCCAACAGAAGATTTAAAAACAAGGGTTTTTGAGACCACCAGGAAGATACTCATCAAAGGATTACCTAAAACAATTGACAAAGAGTATTTAGAATTATATTTTGAAGATTTTGGAGAAAAAGAAATGGTGGTAGAAAAAGTTGATATAGACACTGACAAATCTACAGCTGTTGTAGAATTTCATGACCAAACAGGTAATTAAAAGAATTAAGTATTTTTTACCAAGGGAGAAGTAGATTGACTTTTACATTACATCAGTATGATTTTTAAGACTTTAAGTCTTTGTCTGACGACATTAATATTTTCCATTCCGTTGCTTATACTTTTACCAGGACGTTAACAGTACTGATACCGATATAAAGAAGAGATACAACAGAGAAAACCTATTACAAATGAATTAAAAAACATTGATGCTAATTTATAACATATTAAAGAACTTGTAATAACATATAAAAAGAACTTGAAATTAAAATAATATATAACTGTGAATACTATTAATAAAATGAAAGTAATTCATTAAAAACTTTGTATATGTTTTATTTTTTATCTTGTAGCCGTAGACTTTATAATGAAACATACTCCTTTAAAAATGAAAGAAAATATTGTATCTGTTGAACGCTACAAAGAAGAACAGGCTGATCTTTGCACAATAGAAATCCATGGTGTCTCCGACATAGAACATAATCTTGAAAAGGTTTTAATGTATTTTAAAAATAAAAGGCGTTCAAGTGGTGGAGAAATTGTAAGCAATGATGTTGATATTCAGAAAATACATTAGTTTTACATAACATTTGAAAGTAAAGAAGGTATGTACGTTATGTTATCTGTGAACTAGGTCTAAATAAATGTAAATTATTTGCATAGATTAAAATGTTAAGTTTAAACCCTTAGACTAATAATATAATGCCTCTAAATAGATATTTCTTTGTTACGAAACATTTTTAAAAAAATATTAGTTTCGTTTATTCATAATAATTAAAAATGACAATAAAAATGTGAATACTCCAATAATAACAAAACTTGAAATTGTAGTCGCAGAGAGAGTTGTTTCTCATGATCATAGTAAACAAGGGTATGAAGTTATACTGAAAACAATTCCAACTAAAGATAAGGAATGTCCGACACAAACTATTGATACTGTGAAAGTAAAAGGTGTAGACAAAACAGTCTCAATGGAAACGCTGACATACTACTTTGAAAGTAAAAAACGGTCTGGAGGTGGACCCATTTTAAGCAAACGTTGTTGTGAAGAAGATGAAAATGTCATATTCATTACATTTGAATCACCTGAAGGTCACGAAATAGTTTTTTCCTATTTGTTTCACCATTATATTATAAAATTAAATGCATTATTATATATTTTCTTGACTAATAATACTTGACTGATAATACTTAGAATTGTCACATACAATGTTTCACCATTGTCTTTAAAATTAATTGAATACTGAGTTGTATATTCTCTCAGATGAAAATTATACTACATGAATCGTCAAATACATCATTTATGAATAAACACACATCTAAAAGCATTGCATGTGTTACACTATTCTGGGAGATGATCCTTTTGATGTCACATCCGATTCCTTATTTAGCTTGCATACGTTTAATATGCAGATGTTCATGGATGATTACAATTAATTGCGCTGCATGTTTTCATTTGGATACATGTGTGCTGCTCAGGAAAAAAGGTTTTGAATTTTACCTGTTGTCTTTGACTTCTACTTATTTGATTACTTGCATAATTTCTTTTCACTTCTTCATCATGTTGTAAGTTTTTATTTGCATTGCAAAAAGTCAAATTTCGAACCCCTACGATTAAAGAAAATTTCGATGTCAAAACCATTTGGCTGTTAAAACAAAAGCTAAACTTGTAAAAAATGGAACGATTAATATAGTTTATTATAAATGAACCAATCACTAAATATATATTTAAGATATCAAAAATATGTTTCTGTATTATGTTGATATGAGTGAATCTTATAATTTCCGATGCAAACAATGTTGCCGGGAAACATCATACTGTAGAAAATTGTACGGTACATGTAAGTCTTTACCAACCTCCACCTTGTTACGATGACAAGATTCTTATCAAAGGGCTCAAAAGCACTAAAGATGCACTGTTCCTATTCCTTGAAGCCACGGCAAATGTGGAACCAATAAGAATGGATCCCCATGAAGAAGATAATAGTACAGTGCTGGTGACATTAAAGGAAAAACCAAGTACCTCTTACTTATTATAGCAAGAATATACATTATTATTGATTTATGTGTTTTTAAAATGAGTCACTGTAAATACTATACCCATACAACTGATAAAACAATTTACAAAATTTAACACTAAAAAATTACTTGTAATGTAGTATGCATCGGTACCAACAAAATGTTGTACAAATGCAAGTATATGCACGGAAATAAAATTATTATATTGTCAAGTCATTATTATATAATATTAAATTTAACCGGAATGCCTGTAATTTCTATAAATTCATTCATCCGAAATTTCATTGTTCTTTTAAAAAAGATTTTGAAAAGCTTGAAAAGGCATGCAATGAAAGGCAGCTAGAAGGAGCATGGCTAAAATTATCAAAGGTTCAGGTATCACATTGTATTGTCGTCACCAATATCGCACCGGCAGTCACAAAAGACACTTTGCAATACTATTTTGAGAACAAAAGGAAGTCTAGAGGCGGGGACATAGAAAAAATTGTTATAAATGACGACGATGATGAACGGACTTGTATGATCTTTTTTGAAGACTATAAAGGTGTGTTCAATATGTTTAATACAATATCCTTTATTGAAAAAGTTTCTTAATCGTTTTCAAACATTATGTAGCAATAATCTGTTGCTAATGAGAAACATTATAACGAACATATTTAGAAAAGCTTTCATTTGTAAAAATTAAAAGAACTCAAAATCTCGCCTGCTTGCCTTTTGTGATCATATTACAGAAAAATAAAGTAATTAATGAAAAAATTGAATTTAATTCCTTACAGAACATATTTCAAATTAATTTGAAACTCAATGTATGACAGCACTGAATGCGTTGCCATAATCGCCTGATAATAAGGAATCAAGTGTACCTATAGTCGTAAAAGTGATTTTTTAAAAATATTTAGTGTCCGTTATAGTTATAAATTGTGTTTTGTATTGATTATTGTAGTAATTGACGATATTCTTGGCATTCATCATACTCTTGGAGATCAGAAATTAGAAGTTAAACGTTTTCAACCTGTATTAGGACGTCCAGAAGGAGACACGGAAGAACGAGAATGGTGCTTACCTCGTTTCATAGAAATAAATGATGCAGATATCCATAAGATTTCATTCGTCTCCAGTTCAAACGAAATAAGCAGTACCTTTGAGGAAGAATTAATCAAAACTCACATAAAGGTAGTGTGGCCATCTGAAAACAACCAGAATGTACAATTACATTGCACGCTTACAAAAAATGACAAATTGCGATTCAAAATAGCAAAAGGATGGAGTAAGAAAGCACAGATTGAATTTATGAAACTGATGGATACCATTGTACTTCATCGCATTGATATATTGCAAGATATTAGACCAAATGTGATGGAGTTTCTAAAGACTGTTCATGTTAAAGATGCAACAAATGTCGCCATTGTCAACAGAAAAGATGAGAATCATATTATCATTGTCGGAACTGAAGCTGCAGCTAACGTCCTTAAACAGGACATTGAAGAAGGAATTAAAAAGATATTACAAGTTGCCGAAAAAGAAAAACAGAAAGTGACAGAAATATTTTCCAATTTAGATCCCATTGAGACTAAGATGATGATTTTCCAACATTTTGCAAAGGAACTAGAAGATAAATTTGATGACTTAAAGGTAGAAATCATAACCGATAAAAACGAAATACATCTTAAAGGTTTGATAAGTAGTGTAAGGGACGCACAAATAGCTATCTATGATAGGAAGAGTAAATTTGATATTCAAAAAATAGATGACATTTCAAAACTTGCACTCACGTTACTGCAGTTAGATGGCACACGTGACGTATTGCAAAGAAAATTAGAGGCTAACTCGATTCAAGCGGTATGGGAACCTTTCACAGATGGGGTTGATGTATGCTGTTGCAAACCGTCGTCGAGTAGTAAAGCGTCAGATATAATTCGTTCATTCATCCATTACGAACGTATAGCAATAAAAAAGGGAGAGGTCCCTGATTTAGAAACGGATAAATGGAGACAAAAACTTGACGAAATATATCAAAAGCATCCCGGAAAGGTGAGAATATCACTAGAAGATGACCAAACGAATATTCATGTATGTGCATTGGCTAACATACATTCATACCAGTAAAAAAGGAGAACCATTCCAAAACTTTCTTAGAGGGCCAATACGAATTTACGTCTGAAACGATGTCAAAACGCAAAGAGAACTCAAAAACCGGTTCTTGGAAAAAAAAATGTAAAAAAAGGAAAATTGAAAGAAATTTGCTAGAAGGTAAATCAACAATATTATGTAACGATAGACCCCTATTGGATCAGTTTTCAAGAGAGGTCTCGAAATTTCAAGGTTTGCAGAAGGGTAATTCAGGAGGCAACAGCACAAATAAAGATTTTATTACAAAGAATAAAGCGCCAAAACCATACGGTAACTAAACCCGGGATAGCAGAACATATAATGTCTCCTAAAGGAAAAGATAGCATCCACACGATTGAACATTCATTGGAATGTGTAATCATTGTGGAAGGAGATGAAGCGTATAAACAAATGACAGACAAAGAACTTGGAACTAAATCACATACAACCTATCATGGGACGACTGTTTATGTTTGGCAAGGAGATATGACAGAACTTGATGTTGATGTTTTAGTCAATCCAACAGATAAAACCTTAAAATCAACAGGTGGACTTGGAAAGGCCATATTCTCAAAAGGTTCGACAATAACTTTACTCTGTTAATACGGATACTCAAATTTTAAATTTTACTATTATACATGTAACAATGAATTTTCTGCTTAACAAGATAACACTTGTAATTTTGAAAGTATATTAACATTTATTATAAATAATACATTGTTTATTGTAGGTGGAGAAATGATAAATTATGAATGTGAGGACTTTATCACTAGAAATGGAAGTTTGAATGACGGCGATGTTTTTATCAGCAGTGCAGGTGAATTAAAAGCTGGCAACATTGCACACATACTGAGCCAGCAATGGGAAAATGGAAAAGATATGGACATACGTTTAGAATCAACGATCTTTAAGTGCTTACAAAAAACAGTAAATTCACAGAAAAGGTCCATTGCAATACCAGCTATAGGTTGCGGAGTAAATGGGTATGCTTTAACATTATAGTTAGAACCAGTCTTTATTATCTTTGCATGACCATGTGGCATACTTTTTTTTATATTTTTGATTATGTATAAATTTCTAAATTAACAATTATTTTATCTTATTTAAGGTTTCCAGTTGGTATTTCAACTTCAAGTATTGTGAATGCATTAAAGCGAGTGTTGATGGAGTGTCAAGACAGTTCCATCCGTGAGATATACCTCTGTGATATGAACCCGATAAATGTTGAGGGGTTTACTGACGCACTTTGTAAAATTTTCGGGATTTCCAACGTCGTCATGCACGATGGCGGGGATAAGAATGCTAAAAGCCATGGTACTGTTTCGGCACAAATGGGTGCTCGAAAAAAGATAATATCATCATCAACAGTGTTAAATAAGTCTGGTAAAGCCACATCCGTTTTTCTTATATGTCAACGTTCTATATTAAGATATGAAACAGTAAAGTATATTTTGATCAAAATATTCATCACAGAAGTCGTTTCATCTGATGTATTTTTTTTATCCAACATGCAAATAGGATTCCGATACATTTATTATATTATCTTCGTACGGTAATATTTATATTTCGGATATATCTATTTTCAGATGTCAATGCATTTTCACAGTCAATATCTGGGCTTCATAAGCATGACCGTGTTGTAATTGGAAATGTTACTGTAACTATAGTAAAAGGAGAAATTGCCAGAGAAAAGGTAATAATAGGCATGCTTATTGTACAATTTTATACATTTGGCAAATAGTTTTTAAGATAATATGGTATGATAAAGAAATATGATAAACAATAAGCATAGTTTTTACATAATTTGACAGAAATGCTCATTGCGAGAAACACCGGGTCTTTTAGAATATTTTTGAATGCAATCTTTGCAAACCCTATTCTCCGAAAGTGCAATTTCTAGAGATTAGATATTAAGCATGAAACATAATCTAGTTATTTGCTACAAACTTTGATCAATTACAGAGTTAAAATTTACCCCGGTAAACGAAAACGCTCACCCCATTGTGTATCGACTAATTGCAAGAAACTATCTACTTTAATTTACATATGTGCGCTACATATTATGGACATTTCCATGATTATTTGCATTTTTCGATGACGATTTTGGATGACTGAAAAAATACATCGGCACTGCACATTTTGTTGATGTGAACATTTTGTTGTACACATTTGTATGTTTCAATCTTATGTAAACATCAGTAAACTATGGTGACTGATTTGTGCCATTTGTGTTTTCGTCCAGCGAACCCGCCAAGCGAAAAGTCAAGAATTAACAAGTGAAAATTGCACGGGCGCTGGGCAAAAAGACTCTTATTAGCGGGAGCGCGGGGCGAAGTTTAATAAATTAACCCCACAGGGGCGCGGAGCAAGGTTTAAGAGATAAAACGGCAGGGGCACGGAGCGAAAAAACACATGGAAAGTAAAGTTGTCATGTAAAAACGAATATAACACTGGTGCAATAAAACTTTAAGGTGACGTCTTTTGCGTTGTTTATTATGCGCTTCCTTTAGCGTTACTCTAAAGGCGTTTTAAAGTAAAAAAAGTATTTTTTATGCTTTTCTTCTTTATTTCATTATGGAAGTGTTTTTCTGCTTGAGCGCGCGCGCGTGCCCGTGACCGTTATTTTTTAAAGTATTTTTTTGTGAATTTACTACTACTATGATAATAATAATAATATGTTTAACATGTGAGAAAATTGCCTAATCGTATATTTTTCCGTGAGATAACGCCTGAAGAGTCCCTCGGAACTGTTGGATTCCTCGCACTTACTGGCTCTAGCTCGGGACTCTGCAGACGTTATAGCAGTTTTTATAGCTCGGAAAAACGTACGCTTATCATATAGAATAAACATATACCTTTCACCTGTCCTCCACGACAATTAACGTATTCAATAGATTTACAAAAACATTAAAAGTTTGAATTACAAATATGCGAAGTCGACATAAACGTTCTGTGCAGGAATGATCAATTGTCTGCCGACACCAGCTTTAATTATTGAATCACAACCTTCATCTGTTTCTCTATAGGACGATTTAACTGGTTTGTAACAGAATACACATTCATTCGCCTATATCTGGAAGAACAATATGTTATTGTACTGTTTAAACTTAAATGGATAGTTAATAAAGAGGTTAAAGATAGAACGCTGTTTAACGTGAAAAAATGCAAACAAAAGATAATATAAATGTTGCGGAAATTTCTCTTCATAAATAGAGGATGCAATGCTAATTTATGCTCGTAAATGATTGATTAATTACTACTTAAAATGTACAATTAATTTAAAAACAACTTGGCTTCAGAATTACTCTATTTTTTATGAAATTTTTACGTTTCTTAAATTGTGAGAACATTTTCTAAATTTTCACTTTCTTTAAAAAATATATATTTGCTCATCTGGAGGCATGTAACTTTAAGTATAAAACAAGAGCACAATTTATTATATGACAAAATATCACAATGCTGAATTAATTATCCATATTTGGATTTAACAATAATGCTTAATAAGTTTTAGAATAACCCAGCGTTCAATGCACAAGATATGAAGACTGATGTTCAGTTCATAAAGATCCTGTTACACATTTTTTATGGTTTTATATCATAAATATGTAAGTTCAAAAAACATTATTTATAAAGATATTACCGAATTTAACATTTCATGTAAATAAAGGGAGGTAATAAAAATGCATTTTCATTATAAAGACTAAGTCAATTTTTTCAATGAGAAATAAATGCATATCTTTTAATGATTACAAATAATATGTACAAATATTTGCAGTACATATTTTACATATTCTTCGATGTTTGAAAATTGTTTTAGAAGCATAATTATATACATATGTATAATTTAATTTAAGTGTGGTATACAAGGAAAAAGGAGAATTTTATTTCAAAATCCACATGTAAACAACAACCCTCTGGTTAAGGCTAATATGCCCTTGACCTGACACAAAATAAAATTACAACATTCTCAGTAAAATTAAATACAATACATTACACAATACACTACAGTACAATGACGGAACATTTTGTTACATTCATATATTATCAGAACTATATGATGTCAGTTACATTTTAATTCATATCAATTTTAATTTCATACATATTTATCTCTTTGATTATTTGGTTTATTTACCTTGCTCTGTATGTGTTCTTTTTACTAAACATCAATGGTTATAAATGTTTACATGTTTTATCATAATATGCTCATATATAAATATTTATAATGTTTGGTATAACTTACCTCCTACAAATGTATACATAAACATATATGTATCATAATGCCTTGTATCGAAAATGAAATTACAAGACCATTATTTTTACTGCTAAAACTCTTAAGCATGACATGTTTTTATGTCAGATATGAATATGTCAGATTTAGACACACATACAAATATGCATTTTAGTGTTTGGCAAATTGCCTTGTGTACAAGACGAGTATGACGCATACAAGGGAAATAACCATGTCAATTATAATGTAAACGATAATTAAGATTTGTTTACCTTTAGTTTTAGCTATAATAAAATTGTAACATGGATTGATTTAACAAAAAGATAATAAAAATACGATGAAAAGAACAAGAAAAAAAAGAAAAACGAACATGATACAACATATCGAACATTTAAAAAGTATCAAATACAGTTTGAAAATAGGAAAATGTTTTACATGTAAAAAGGTACATATGGATATTCTGAAAGGAACTTTAGAATCTTATAGTATATAAACATTTATTACTCTCTAAGATTGCAATGTAGATTCTTTTCTAATCTCGAAAGCTTTAAAGACAAACATGGCTAAATTTCCTACAATTTGTACTGAATGAGAGTTTAACAGTTCTGCAGTTTTATACATATTTGGGTTTATTACGTAATATTGATTGATATATCGGTTCCTAATATAATTATACAATTTACATTCAAACAATAAGTGAAATTCGTCCTCTAATGTTTGACATGCGTTACATAATCTGTCGCTGTTACCCCATCTGCCAGTTTCAACACTTAAATGGTGAGCTGACAGTCTTAATTTGGTTTAAGCTGTCAAGTATCAAGTATACTTATATTAACATTTTTTAGATAAAAGCTATATTCAAATTTTGCAAATACTCAATAAAATCTTGCTCTTTATGATAAATTTATACGACTTGTCCATTCTTGAATAAAAACATCTGAAATTCTTTGTTTTAGCTTAGATAAAGACAATGTTTGGTTACCAACACCCTGAGCTAGCCAAACTTCGAAAAATCCTAAATTTCCTAAAACGTCTCTGACTTGAGATGCCCAGTTTATTACCCTGGCTTTTTTTTATCTATGTCACTTAACATTTGCAAGTAAATCAATTTGATATATTTTCGTTCAATACTACTTGTAACTTTTAACCAAAATTTAATTATTCTAAAAATACGCTGTGAATAAAGATCCGTTCTACCAAGTGCACCATAGATAAAGTCATTCTGAGTAGAATTTATGTACTGGGCAAATTTTAAACTCGAACAAACAAAGTTACAAACTTAACAATAATTTTAAACAGGTGGATGTAATTGTAAACACAACAGCACGAAATTTAGATTTAAGAAATGGTTGTGTATCATCTTCGCTGTTAAAAGCAGCCGGGCAAGAACTACAGGATGAAGTAACAGCAAAATTTGCAAATGACCTCGGAAAAAGAACAATAGCTGTAACTGGCGGATATAAACTTAATTGCAAGTTTGTAATTCATACAGCATTGTCAAATTACATAGACAATAATCCGAAGGAAAGTATCAAAGTAAGTATAAGCAAACACAATTCTGTTCAGCATTTGCGGATCGTAAAAAGCAATAGCATATATGTTTTAAAAGAACAACTATCGATGTACTCGTATATTGTTTAAATGTTAGATACTTGTATTATAAATAAAAATGAAGAGACAGGTTCAATTTTAAATGTTCTAATTTCAATTAAAAAAAGTAACAATTTTAGTAAACATTTGGTTATAAAGCAGGTCATATTGAGAAATGAATATTTGAAAGAACGAACCGAGTTATGTCTTTATTTGCATTGATCATCCTCAAAATTGTGTTTGTTATATTCAGGGTCTCCATAAAGTGATAACGAAATGTTTAGAGGACGCTCAACGAAATAATTGTCGAAGTATCGCTTTCCCAGCGTTTGGAACGGGTAATTTAGGATTTCCACGAAAAGTTGTGGCTAAGGAGATGTTCAAAGCGGTAGAAAATTTTCAAAAAGATTGTCCAAAGACGAGTGTCAAAGACGTGAGGTTTATTGTTTATCAAATGGACAGTCAAACGTTTCAGGTAAAACTTTTTGAGCCATATATTTTATCTAATCTTAATTGCTTTATATCGTCTGTAAATATTTATTTACTTTAAGTATACTTTATTAAATAATTAATGTCTTGCAGTTTTAAAGCTAATGGTAACAAAATGACTTTTTATTCATTTTTTAGGCTTTTAAGGCAGAGGAAACCAAGTTGCTTGAAGAATTACATTCAGCATTTTGTGCTGGAACAACAGGTTTTTGCTGAATTTATTCCAATATAACGTTGTTATTTATCTTGCTTTAAGCATTAATGTATAATAGTAAATAGTGTAACATATCCAGTGATAGTATTTAGTTTTTTGGTCTTTTAATTGATATTTTAAAATATTTGAATACAATAACCCGTTCCTGTATATAAAAGAACGAAAAATATATATATATTATTTCTTACACGCATAATTGCGAAACAGTTTTGATATGTGAATCTTTTAAATCAGGACCAACTGCAACTCCTGGATGCGAAGTTGTGCTTACAGATTTCAACAGCACCGACCAAGAAACTAATGGAAACTACTCATTCGATGGTGTCACGGTCATTATCAAACATGGGGATATTACACAGGAAAATACAGACTGTATCGTGAACAGTACTAATGTTGACTTGAACTTCAAAACAGGTAGTTTTAAAACAAAGTAGTGTTTTAGGAATATTAATTTATTTTTACTGAGATTAAAATTAAGAATTTTTATATATGTAACTATTATTTTTTAATGAATATTAAGTTGTATATTTATCCAGGTAAAGTGTCACAGACATTGATGAGCATTGGAGGACTTGAATTACAAGAAGAGATAGAACATCACAGTAATTTGTTTTAAATTTTCCTTGTTTGTTATTGAAGTGAGTTATAACAAAAAAAGTATTTGTACATTTCTTTATATTTATTTTTTATGTTGGGCTTGTACATCTGCACCATTTTCAATTTTGAAATTTCGCCAGACTGTCCCATTTGAATTATAGTTCAAGATATATGTTTCTGTTATTATTAAAAATAAAATAAAATTAAGGTTCTTTAAATATTTCGTCATTCAAAGGAACTACATATTGCTGAAAGGAATAAATGTATAAAAAAAATTTACTCGAAAGTTAATATAATGAAATTACGACATTATTTGCTATGATTTTTAATTCTATTTTTAAAATAGAAACAGAAATGATGAGAAACAAAATTGTAACTACATTAGCACCAGGATTATCCTGTAGACATATCATACATGTCGATGCAGACTTTAAAGATATAGCCGGAACTGTGAAAAAGTGCTTAAAAGAAGCCGAAAACGCGAAACTTGGCAGCATTGCCTTGCCTGCCTTTGCAACTCGCAACATACTTTCAGGTAAACTGTTTGTTTGGCGTTTGAACCATATATCTACATTCACTTGATCTGATAATATATAATTAATGTATCTATTTACTGCTTGATATATCAATATCATTTAATAATTCGCGTGGCATCACACAGGGGTTTCGATAGGTAATGTAAATCGTCATCTCAAAATCGTTCAACAGACATAGTCAAATGAACAAAACAACCCTTTAAAACATTTCCGTAGTTTCAAACACATAATCTTAAACTCTGAATATATTCATGAAATGCGGTACGGTATGCTTAATTGTGTTGACTTTTGAGGTACTGCCTGATGCCTGAGTTGCGGTCTGTCACGACTTGCATCGACGACCTTTTTGCTTATGGACCTATTGGCAACAACAGGCCTGGCGCGTTTGATTCAATATATTTTGTTTTAAAGTTTGCTTTACCGAATGACCTTAGTGCGAACTACTAGTATTATATAAACTTTTTCTTCTTTAAAATTCTTAATCAGTTTCCCAACTATCTTTATAATAGTGGTCAACGTTTGGCTTTATCAAAATTGCGATTAGTTTTAAACTGTGCTCAGCTAATGGAACCTGTTGATACCGTTGGAAATGTGTTAAATAGAACTTTCAGGCGTATCAACATCAGTGAAATCGAGCGTTATTGCGTTGCGCTAAGGTACTATACACATTGAATTTCGAACAACCCGTATGCGTCTTATTGTGTTTCATTGCATTAAAGTCATTGGTACATTTATATGTAGTCTTAAAATAGTTTGTTGTTTTTAAAATGTGTCGATGAGCCTTGATGAATTGTTTTCTGAAAAATTGTGTTTTGTTTACTATATTTTAAAGGTTCGACAACAGTTTCTTCAGATGCTGTCTCTGAAGTTGCAAAAAGCATGGTGAAAGCAGTAAGGGAATTTTCAAAATCACAGCCAAGATACATGAAAGAGATCAGATTTGTTATTTACCAACATGATATGTTACCGGAATTTTTAAAAGCTGCAGAAGATGTTGTTGATTCAAAAAGCTGGTTTGGAAATGTTTGGAAAGGATTTAAAAGTAAAAATAATATAATTATTTTATCACATGTGTTTAAACAAAATTAGTTTGGAAGACAAAACATGTTCAATCAAAGTTTTAAAAGTTCAAATAGGCTGACTATCTTACTTTATGTTTCATTCATAACATAATGTTACGTAAGTATGTCTTTATAACACAAAACTAGTCTTATTGATGTAGACATATAGACATTTGATAAGTCTGCACTAGTCAATGAACATGAAGAAGAATTTAATTAGAAAAAATATTGTGAATTTGGTTTGATCATTTAATAACCAGTGTCTTAATTTCTTCAAAATTGATATCTCTAAACTGCAAATACAAATATTTTGATACCCTAAGGACGTTTCCTATTTGTTTACTTTTGGAAAAAATATGTGCAGACGTCGTGACATATGCAGTAAGTGCTATGAAATCATCAAGATTTGATCTTATTGTCAATGAAATATTTTTGTATGTAATCTCGTTTAGGTTTTTAATTTTAAAAAATATTCAAAATCCTAAAATTTGTTTTTCACTTATGAAAGTATAATTAACAAAATGGTTTTCATAGTAGATGCCGTTTGCAACAAATTCTATTAACGGCAAAAGATATGTTCTTTTTCATTGCATATGTTTTTAAATATAGAACATTGATGCTTTTCAATTATAATCTGTTTTTTGTCTATTGGCTTTTCTTTTAATTTGACGTTCAAAAATACTTATGCTTACTTTTACCTTTATGACCTAAATGATAAAACTGACACAAATCCACTTGTTTTATAAAATATTAGTACATTAAAAACCTGAGAAGGCATTGACATTATCAATTACGTTAAATCAATTTATTTCTTAAGCTTAGATGATTATCTACATATCTTGAAAAGAGTGAGACGTAAAACTAAAATATAAAAAAAAAATTCAAATATTCAATGCGAAATGCCAGTGTTTCAAGACAATTTAAGTTAAACTTTCACTATCCGTTCGCTTCACATTGTAAAGATTCCAGGTAAACATTTATGTAGAACTATATAGCTAATTGGAACTACATACTAGGGGTTATCCAAAATTCGTGGACTTTCCTTGTTGCGTTAAATATATAAGATTTATTTATTTTAAATCCTAACACTGCTTAGAAATGCGCTTGCTGACACGTACTATCTTATGTTTCATACAGGTCGCCATAGAAATGACAAATAGAGTTGATTGAGTGGTTTTAAAGTATTGTTTAAATTATGATTTGACGATTGCCAGTCATAAAATACTTCTATCAGAACGAAGGCTTCTTTTATAAGTTACAGTTATAAGAGACACGTAAATTATAATGTCAAGACAAAAAGCTATTTTGGCTATTATACGAGGGATGTTTATCTAAATAATGTCTGCAATTAGCATTACCATGAGAACAGAACTTGGTTAATTTTCCTCACCTTACTTACATAATTGAATGCTCATGTAATCTATTCTGTCTGTGATGGCAGAAATATACGCACTGCAAGGATCATATCGATGATGTCCAAATATTCTGTAATAATTATGAGAACAAATGGAACAAAAGTATTGGAAATAATAAGGTTTGACAATTAATTTTAATGGGTATCTGAAATACCTTTCTTTCTAAGAAATCATGAACCAATCCACTTTAGTGAAAACTGCACTGTCGTGCTTTATGGAGATACATTTATTATAAGAATACCATTTTTCACTTCTCACAAGACTTATTCCTTATGTTAACTAAGGTTCATCAGACTAAAATATATTGCATAAACAACTTTACCGAGCATTCTTTCTTCAAAGATTGTTATATAAAGTCATCGTCTGGTATTGTCGTGCGTCTGAGACAAAAGATAATGTCACTCGCGTCTGATATCATAAATGTTACATAAAGACAATGTTAAAAACCATTAACATTTCATTTTATATATTTTCAGATGTGATCGGCATGAGGGGACCTAGCGATGGAAATGATAGTATGAAATCAAATTCTGGACCCGATTACAACTCTGTTTCGTTCATCATCATTGCTATGAGTGATGACATCATACGCAAGGCTATTAAAAATCTTGAAGAATCTCTTGAAAAGGTGATGCATACAAGAATTATCGATGATCATACCATTCGTGATCTTGAGGACATTCAGGTAAAGCAGATATTAAAACTTAAGCTACAAGTAGAATTCATCTAAGTAGTTTATTTAAGCATAATGTCCTGTTGCAAATTATTCCTGTTAATCAACATTTATTAGCGAACGTTTGTATATATAGTAAAACATTAGGCATACATTGAGTTATTTAAGCATTCATTCATTACTAAGATATTGTGTATATATGTTATACACTCTCCACATTGCAATTTAAGGTTGACGAAATACAAGGAATAGCACATCAATGTCATGTTGGAATGATTATGGATAAAAGAAAAGCAACAATACAGCTTTCAGGAATAGTTACAAACGTTATGAACGCTTCTGACAAGATAAATAAGTAAGTTCATAAAATTTTTTAGGCAATGCCAATTTGAAAGGGCGTAAATATTCTTTATGAAATTATCTCCCTTTTCAGAAGATACAGGATATTCATAGCTTTAAGGGATACATATAGTTATTTCTATGCAAATTTGAATAGTTACTTGTAATGCTCAACAAAAGCATCTTTTAGGTAATAAGCCAACCCTCTGATGGAATCTTTTCTTCGCCATTTAAATAGATTCATATATAATAACTAGTATTGTCTAACAATGTGTTGTAACTTGTCTGATATTACACTTCGTATTTTTAAATACAAAATTTAAATTGAACAATAAAATCTCCGAGTAATAACATTTTTGACAAATTTAAAAAAGATGTAACGTTTTCAGTGTTTTAGGGTTTTGATTTATAAATATGAACAAAATATACAAGATATTGCTTAAAATGGCTAACGTATTTTATTGTAAATGCTCGTTCACAACTATGAATGTGTAATACATTGTCTTAATTTTCTATATATAACTATAGAAGTTTTGTACATATATATGATTTTAGGATACAAAACCAGTTTTAAAAGCTCGATTTGTCATCCATGTTTTTTATTGTACTGAATAAATGTTATATACAACTATATTCTTTATAAAATGATAACAGGCTGCTGAGAGATGCGGAGAGAATGGAATTCTTGAAAAACATTGCACAGTGGTTCTACATAAAAGTATCACAAACAGGAGAAACAGTTTCACCGTATGAAAAGGATATAAATATGAAAATAGAAAATGCATACAAAGTCAAAAAACCTACAGTTGCATACGTGTATGTTTTATTTTTAGATTATTGCAAATAAAAAAAAATATCAATTTGCGTAGACTGCAGTAAAGTTCTCTGCGCAAGCTAATAAAGATTAAGATTTCAATAATGGATATTATGCAACCAATGTGTACAAAATAAACAGAAATCAAATTATTTACTTACTTAACACATATTGGTTGATGTTTTGTTATTTATAAGCTTCTATTTAAACATGTGTATAGTATAAAATTGAAATTAAGGATAATTTGTTTTGCCAACTAATTTGTTTTGACCAATACATAATATCACAAAATGTTAGTTTCTTCTTTATAGCGCAATTATCTTTGCTAGCTATGTCATTACTGTAAGAATAATGTGTTTCGTTTAAAACTCTTCAAATTTCATTTATGAAACATATATAGGATACATATTTATAGGATATAATTGAATGGAATAAGCAATATAGCCAACGTAGTCAAAATTATGTTGCTTTTTTCCCTTTTTTACTGGATTCATCACTAAAATGAAGTAAAATAAATGTAAACTGTATTAGGCATTTGTATTATTTAATTAAAACAGTACAATACTAATTAAGCTACCTGGCCCTTTTGAAACATAAAATGCTGGTAGATGCTTAAGTATGAAGGTTTAAATTTTATAATGCTGAAACATCTTTTTCTATTTCTTTAGCATAGACGGAATTGATTATATTCTTAACTTTGAATTAATGGAAGAGTATCCTGAAAATAAACCCTCAAATAAATTAAAGGTTATCAGGAGGGACCTCGTGAAGGGTAATTTTTCATTTATTTAGTAGGTTTAAACGTTGAAATTCTTTTGAAAATCAGTTTGTGAAATAAGCCACATGGTGCATTTATCATAACAGTTATGTTCTTAATGTTTCTAAATGCAAATTTTCACCATTTTCATGTTAAAATATTCAATTCTGCTTGAGGCTATGCTAGGGTGCAGGATGGGGTGTGGACGTTATCTTTCACTTCAGTCAAACCAAGCCTGCAACATTTCAATTTTGTCGTTTTTAGATGCTCTTTAGGAATTCCATTTTTAAGAACAATACAAACAATTTTGAGTAAATGCTATTTAAATCATGTTTGAGTGCTTAATTGCAAAATATTTTAGGTGGAACATTTGAACCCCCTGCAAACTGGGATGATATGAAGGGCGGAAATTTACGAGTTGTGAGTTTGTTTAACGGAAGTCAAGAGTATAAAGCAATTGTTAAACAATTTAAAGATTCTGCTGGACAGTATAAAGACGCGAATGGTCAACTTAAGGACTATACTGTTGTTAAGGTTATAACTCGTTTTTCTATTAAACGTTCTTAGTATCTATTAGACTACATCTGTCCTTTTATTTTTGACATTTTCATTTATGTTTTGTTCTATAAATATTTATTCGATTTATAATGCCGCTGACATTTTATAAACTATCTAGATAAAGTAGCCTACTAAAATTCTATTTTCTTACACTTTAAGGGTGGTTACATGTCACCAAGTCTTAGTATGAACATTTATATAAAATTCTCATTTCAATTTTTGTAATTATGATTTTGTATTGTATCGAAGATCGAACGGGTACAAAACAAAGTTCTTTGGGAACAGTATCAGTCCAAGAAAAAACAGCTTGAAGACCAAAATCCGTCTGGTACCATTAATGAAAGAGAACTTTGGCATGGGACCAGTGCAGATCCCGTCGACAGCATCAATGCACATGGTTTTAATAGGAGTTTTTGTGGCAAAAATGGTGAGAAAGCATATATTTATTTCTCTAAATACGCGTCTACACACAATCAAGTCTTGAATGCATATATCATATTCTCTTGCCTTACATAATATTGGCACCCTACTTGAATATTTTTAATGAGAAATTCTGTGAAATCCATGAAGATAATTTCTTTCTAGCAAATAGGAACACATACTTTCTAAAAGGTTTTGGCTGTTAAGACACTGATAACACCGGTTTGATACAAAACATATGCCCCGAAGGTGTGATAGTGTTGTAATGGTTGTTTTCCTTTTTTTTTATTTTTTTGTAGATTCAGTGTTCATGACCTGTGAATTTTCAGTAAATGTTTACAATGTCTCGGTCAAAGGAACAAATCGATACATTGATACAAAGAAGACCAAAACATGATCTGTTTTTCAAAAGTAGTATCAATGGGAATTTTACATGATCTTGTTCAGTTAGTGAATAACTTTCATCAAATAAATATTTTTTATCAATTAATAAGCTCAAAATGTTTTTTCTCCCATTTTCCAATTATTTTTAAAGAACGTACCCATTTTATTAACTCTATTCTTTTTAGCTAATAGGCATCATTTCCCGTTTTTTATTCACACGTTTTATAGAAACATGATAGTCTTAGCAAAGTCTTGATAATCTTAACAGGCGGTAGGATTTATTTGTACACCATTAATTAAAGATATAATACACTTTTCAAAGCAATACAACCCTTGCATTCAGAGTTGTATTAATCACCAGGCTTCCCTTCAAAACAATTCCCTCTAAATGGATCCCTTAAAAAGTTAATTCACTATAATTACTGAAATATGTGTAAATGTTATATGGTTGTTGGCATTGACCAATTAAGAAGACTTATTAAGAGATAGGCCGTGGATAGCATGGGGGAGTATTTTGGAAATTACCTCATCTAGAATGGAACATAACTGAGCAGCCTTCACACATTAAGATTTGCGTGTACATCTAAGTTTTAATTGATGTCCAACCGTCTCCTGAGGCCCTTAATAAGATATTTCATGTGCCTGATTATATGATGAAAGGGCCATTTATTAGCTTATCTAAGTAGGACATGTAAGAAACTTGACTAGGTGTAGATACGGTCTTATGCATTAAACAATCTTAAGGTAGGAATATTGTGTTCCTAAGTTCTATCATGACATGGGAGGTACCTCTAAAATTATGCAACGCCTATCGTTTTAAATTCCCTATAAATCATATGTCGGTTCTTTCTTAAAGTTTGCAACTCTTTGGTACTATAAAACCGTTTCTCTTATAAATTTATTTTATTTTATAGCAACTGTATATGGTGACGGTGTTTATTTTGCAAAACATGCAAAGTATTCATGTCAAAGCACATACTCAAAACCGGATTCAAGTGGAATAAAAAGAATGTACCTATGCAAAGTGTTGACTGGAGTATATGCAAAAGGAGAACGGGGAATGAGAGTCCCACCGTCGAATCCCAATGGAGTACCACATGCACTTTTCGACTCCGTTACTAACGACATGAAAACTCCACACATGTTTATCATATTTCATGACACTCAAGCATGCCCCGAGTATCTTATACACTTTAAAGAGTAAAAATTCACGAATATATGTGTATTATACCTATAGTACACTCAAGTGTTTGCAAAACAGTATATGTGTTATTTCGCGTTTCGTGATATATATTTCGTATAAAGAAAATATTGTGCTATTTCACTTGCCATATTTGTTTTATAGTAAATCTATCAGTGAATTGTTGCATTAAACTGTTTTTACATTGCACCAACAGCGCCCGGTCATAAGAATCACGTTTTCTTCTCCGTTAATGTATACCTGCGTGCGGAGTTTTTATGCAAAGAATGCGGCGCAATAAATCAGCTTGCGCATTTCTATATATAATAATTTGTTGAATCATATGAATTAACGTTGCCATTGCATATACCTTTTGGGTGATGCAATAAGAAATCAATTTATTGTTGTTATTGATTTTTGTTCCCACATTTATGGGGACGTCATACACTTTGCATATACCAGCAAACCAAAGAAAGGTCAGATTGTAAAGAGACTGTCAAAAAAGAAAAAAAAATGCATTGCAGCATTTGAATTTGAATTTAGATTGTGTCTATTTCTCTCTTTGTACAAGACATTAAAACATTACAAAATATTTCCTTATAATTAATATTTGCTGGATTATTTTCATAGTAAGTTGTAGTATATGAACAATTCTTAATAAATATTTTCTAATGTATGTTTAATGTAATTGGTATTTCTGTCTAGACAACATTTCACTTTGAAATGAAAACAGTGTTACCAAATAATATTTTGCAAGCATTCTGAACCTTATCATTTAAAAATTGCGCATATTAACAAAGTATTTTGTAATATATTTAGAATACAGTTATATGTCATTTCTTCTGTATTTTTGAAGCAGACATTTAAAGTAACATGCATATAATTATACATTTACGATTAGTTAAAAGAAGAATTTTCGTCCAAGGGATTTTGAGAATGATTCATTCGATTGGAACCAAAATTCATCAGGCTACAGAAGATAATGTTAGCTTTTACTGAAAACCATTTCCTGCTATGATTTATAGAATGATTGCCGTTCTATATCAATTATTTGTAGGTCAATATTTAGATGCAAATACCTTAGAATTTAAGTAAAAATTTTTTTTTCACTCTAAATGAAGCTTACCAGTGGAGCATCTCCAGAAAATCAGAATGTGATATTTGAATGGAAAAAGTTTCTTGTGATTCATTATTTAATCTTACTCTTAGAAACTCATAGTTTGTTGTTTATAAAAAAGAAATAAGGTTTGGAAGAATTCGTTTGCCAAGTGTGTTTGTTAATGTGCGTGACTATTAATGCTTATTTTTGTATCTTTCTGTACATAAGTTATACTTTGCTTATATGTACTACATATATTTCTAAATAGCTTTGCAGTGAACACAGATGATCTGTTTGATATGAATATATTCGAATTTGTGATTGGTTTTTTTTAATTAAAAGGTAATAAAAATCATATGGTGGCGAAGATGAAAATTTAGAAAACATATACTTATACATACTCGGAAACACAATAAAGTGATATTTAAGAAATAAGAAATGTTTGATAGGAAGCAAAAACATTAATCGTAACGATTCATTTATCTTGATATTGTGTTTTAAAATATCTTACATGTCATCTTGTCTTTTACTTTAATATCTTTAGTTGTTACTTTTACTTGATGTATTTTTAATTTTGTAAAAATCTAAGACTTGTGATCTTTTCATACGATGAATAAAATTAGTTCAACAATTTCTTGATAAGTTTCATACAGCCAATTACTTTACTTATATAAGTTATGATAAAACCATCCTGTAAAATATGTTGTTACTATTGAGGTTTAAGAAAAGTTATATATTTGATATGTTGCCACTACCGAAGGTTATGCAAACATGTTTGTAAAATATGTTGTCACTACCGAAGTTGATGCAAACATGTTTGTAAAATATATTGTCACTACCGAAGTTTATGCAAACATATATGTAAATTATATTGTCACTACCGAGGTTTGTGTAAACATGTTTGTAAATTATGTTGTCACTACCGAGGTTGATGCAAACATGTATGTAAACATGTTGTCACTACCGAGGTTGAAGCAAACATGTATGTAAATTATGTTGTCACTACCGAAGTTTGAGAAAACATGTAAGTAAAACATGTTGTCACTACCGAGGTTGAAGCAAACATGTATGTAAAATAGGGTGTAACTAAGGAGGTTTATGCAAACACGTTGTTTGATCTAGAATGCCGTTTCTTATAGTTTTACCTCAATAGCAACTTCATTGTATAATACAGACTACCAGGACTTTTAACTTCTAAAAAAATGAGTTTTGGATAGATAAAAATGTAGTAATAAATAAGTTGTTTCTTAGTTAGTATCAAAATAATAAAACAGCTACAATAAATGTATGTTTTTAAAAGAGATGTACATGCTTATAGATTCTAATCGCTGATATGGATAAATACACATTTTGTAATTTTGACTTTTATGTATTAATCTGCTATTAAAATTCGTTCGTAGAACATTTGTGTTTGCTTATTTTATCACTGCCTATTTTCTCATATGCATTCAAAATATCATTGAATGCACATGGTATATTATGATCTATGAAAATGATTACTTAATACCTCACAAAACAAGATCATTATGAACTGACCTTTTCGTTATTCTCTATGTAGTTAGATTATCATATTGGTTGAGGTTTAAGCCATGAAAAATTGTTAAATCAACAGCGGCATTTTTTGTGTTACTGGTTGGTGCCCCTTAATGCAATGTTTCAGGCTCGAGCATGCACCCTTTAAAACACCGACTTTTTCTCTGTAAGCTAGATAATAATTCAAAGCTATGTTGATTTGAATTTCCATATGCTGAAAACATCATGCATACAAATATATGCGGCTTTTTTAAATCTCGCTTAACATACAAATATCGAGATTATAAAATAATAGTGACATCTTATCGCAAACAAAGCTGGTTTTAACATAACAATAATCTAGACGAATCAAATTTTGCAAACTGCTAAAGAAATCTACAGTGATACATTAATCTTGAGATTAATGAAACTTCTGTGTTATAGACAGTGACACATAATATTTCATTCTATCAATAATAATGCATGCATGTCAGGTTACGGCTATCATCTTCAGATGTAAGATCATCAACAGCGACAAGACAATTCGGTATACAACATTAACAATTTCAACAGTGTTTGAATTTAACATTTGGCTCTGATAAAGTTGACACATTCTTCTTATCATAGTCAAACTTCATAACAAAGCCATACATAACACTAAAAATCTTCCAGCATTCATACTTAACAAAATTAAGTACAGCTTTGAACTTTAGTCACAAAACGGCAGACATATTAGCATCATTTCAACCATCTACAATAGGAACGGACGCTGTAGGACATTCCATGACAAACAACCAAATAATTTTCAATTTCACAAAAAAGATATATTGGCAGAATCGAAACTGTAAAATTAAAAGAAAGAAAAAAGAAGAATACGATAGTAGAAACAATTTAAGCGAAAACAGTTGGATACTAGTTTCGGTTTCGAGTTATCTTCACGTTGAGATTTTAAGATTATACACATACTTCCAAGAGAAGAATTTTCAAGTGAGTAAGGCCTTATATATTTTCTGCATTTTACGTGAAATATATAGTTTGTTTGTGTCTTTTCTATAACCAAATATAAGCTGTTTCTAATAGGTGCATTTTGAAATAAGGGTGTCACGCTGAGTAATCTTTTCATCTTTTACTTGTTAAGTTATTCTCAACTTTATTCATTGTGTAGCGTACTTGTTTGTATTACATTATATTTTGCTCATTATAAGCTGTTTGAACATATTTTGAACTATAACCAATGCTTAATCAATGTTGTTTATATCAGATAAAGATGATGGAATAAGAAACACTTAAAGCTGGCATGTGTAACACATGAAATAAAGCATTACAAAAGGGAAACTGAACGTAGCCTTTACATCTAAAGCCAACAAGGTACCGCAAGCTATTTGATTCTACATGATTACATGAAAAATAATAATATAAGTATTGTCGAACGAAAAAAGGATGAGATAAACTTAATATTGAAAATGACTATTGATTTACAAAATATTGAAACACCACGGCCAAATCGGTCAATTATTCGCTTGATTCAGGCATTAGTTAGCATAGGATAATGTGAAAAAATGCTATGCCACCGCATTTCTACAACACTAAATAGTAGGAGCGGAAGGACAACTGAAATTTTCCATAATGCAGTAGTTTCTGGTGAATTTTGGGGTCAAAGTCATATTTCACTATGTGAAATAAAAGACAATGTGCAGATGTGTCTGATGGTCAGATACAACGGCCACAGTATTAAATTTGATTAAAATAGAAATAGAAGTATACTTACTTGATAAAGGTTGAGTTTACTTATTAAGCATCAACTATTTCTGAAAAAAAAAAACGATTTAAAATCATCATTATATCACAGGTAAATATGCACCACATGTTTGCTGTCTGTATGTTTGGTACCCCATATGTTTTCCATATGTAGAACATATGTGTTCCATGTGTTTTGAAAAACATGTGTTTTGAAAAACATGTGCTTAAGAACATGTGTTTTTCATATGTAAGATTAACATATGTAAACAGAACCATATGAAAAACATGTGTCAACAAACATATGTTAAACTCATGGTTATCACATGTTTTTCATGTGAATAAGTTTTCATATGTTAAATATATGTGAACTTTCATGTGTTTTTCATATGAAAAATTATGATCATATATTCTGCAAGATTTACACTTTGAACAGTTTAAATAAGATTCTACATGATTGTACATAAATTCTTAAAAAATTCTTGGTTAACGAAGTGTCCCCATGGAGTGACCTTGTTAAAATGTTCACTCAATAAAATCTAACTTATACCTAGTGTTTAAAGATCCTGTATGTTGAAACATTTAAGTGAAATTATATATATGTATATAATTATGCTTATAAAACAATTTTCAAACTTTGAAGAATTTGTAAAATATGTACTGCAAATATGTGTACAATTTATATGTATGCATTTTTTTCATATTGAAAAATTTGACTTAATTTTATAGAAAATAAACTTTTTATTACCTCCCTTTATTTACATGAAATGTAAAATTCGGTAATATTTTTTATTAATAATGCTTTTTGGAACTTACAGAATCGATAAATCTTAATTTGAGCATCATATCTATGATATAAAACCACAAAAGATTTGTGTTACAGGATCTTTAAAATTGTTTTATAAGCATAATTAAATACATATATATAATTTGACTTAAATATTAAATATATTTCCAGCCCGCATAGCTCAATCGGTTAGAGCGCGAGACTTGTAATCTCGACATTGTGGGTTCGATTCCCGGGCTGGCCAACTAAAATTACTAATCAGTCTTTCGGATGAGACTTTAAATCGAGGTCCCGTGTATGGGTGCTTAAACACTTGGCACGCTAAAGAACCAGGAGAAGCTTCTGGAATTGGTGCATCTTTCTGTATCTGTAATTGCACTATCCTCCAAAAAAATAAAATGACTAATACTCTTCTGGAGGACTCGCCCATATGGGCAACCGGTGGCGAGTATAAATAAACGCAAATACACACAAATTAAATATAAAAATATTAAAGATCAACATTGATCACTTGATAATTAAGCTCAAGCAGGACACAGTTTATTTAACAATTGTAATGAAAAACAAAAGTGAAACACTGTTTCCTACCATATGAAAAACATAAGTTATTCATATGAAAAAACATCTGTCTATACCATATGTAAAACATACGAAGGTACTTTTCTTGGAGAAACCATATGTTTCTACCATATGTAAAACATGTGTGTCACATACGTTTAACATGTGGTGCATATTTACCTGTGTAAACATGGTGTGAATCAAAATGTCCTTCTAATATAATGAGGGCAACTCATTTCATAAATGTCAATACAAAACAAACATCTCTCTTGTTAGAGATCATGACCGCAAACGTTTCATAAATATTTCTGAATATCAAACATCTCGCTTTCTCTTTGTCAAGACCTTTAGACTGAATCCTAGCTATTGTATTTTTTAGAAAAAAAGCATAACATGTATACAATTAGAAACAAGGGACATGTTTGCTAAATTCTTCTTCTTGGTGAATGAGGAAAACTTGTGCTGAGAGAAATGCTTGTAAGGAAGCAAATAAAACCAGCATACCTCTAGGAAACTAACTGACGGCTTTTAAAACTGCATGATGATGGCAGAAAAGAAATTGCTGCTGTTCTTGAAAAGCTGAGTAATGGTTAAGACAAGTCAGTTCACGATAAATCAAGACAAAAACTTTATAACTTTAAAGATATTTATTTGCAGCAGATCCTATTGATATACAGGTATACAGAACCAGCAAAAGAGTTTGTTAATATAATGACAAGATTCAACCGCAACTGGACAAACTCACCGGAATGATTGAATATGTTTCAACAACAGTTAATGGTTTAGTCTCTAGCAGTTGAAATTAGAGGTAATTCTTAAAATAGCTCCACGTATTCTATGAACGTAACTTTTAACTTCTACATGACAATGTCTGTGATTGAATGGTTATTGTTATAAGAGGACAAAGATCCAATAGCTTGTCATATTTGCATCTAAAATGCTTTCTGTTGCCCATGTTGTAAAAGAGTAATCAGTATGTTTCAATGTACGTTTTTATCGTACATTGACAGATTTATTAAGTCGGCAAAGAAATAGTCATTCTACTTATTACTATACAATACTATATTATTGATAACAGTAAATGTTGTCAAACATGGATTATATGAAGTTGAAATACAGTCAGCAGTATTCCTATATTTTACGCCTGATTATACAGTTTATATATGAAAAGTTGTTATATTGCTATGAACATTTAGTTATGCTATTATGTCGATAAGTGTTTCTATTTAGTACTAGACTAAAAATAAATTGTCTTCTATTTTTTATATTTGAATTGAAGATGTGAAACAGATGCTGCGAAAATGAATATTGATAGATGATTATAGATAAATGACTGACGTGCATATCTATACGTTATTACAGAGTATAGCTAGCCTATGTTGTTCTTGGGTTTACGTCGCACCAACAGTCATATGACGACTTTCTAAAGCTGGAAAGTCGGTAGTTTGTACTTGACAGTACCATCCAAACCGTTTTGGACTTTCTTTATAGATTTGTATTTGTTCTATACTCTTGATTTTTTTCTGGACATGTAAAATATGATGTAGATAATGTAGATTGTCAAAATATGAACCTTTGAGTAGAGACAAAACAAGTGTTACGATAAATATACCGGAAACAACTTAACTAATAATACGTGCACGCTTATTAATAGTCCCGAAATTAATCCGGATGACAGTAAGTAGTTATATTTTTTAACCTCTAGAGCAACTGACACAGAAATCAACTACACCATTACAGGCATAAAATTGTTTAAAATGCACAAGGTGTAAATCACAATTGCATGATACTAATTATTTTACTGTTACATCCGAAAGAATATGTTTATTTTTTAAGAAATACCATCATGTCAATTTAATGTAACGTGTTGAAATGCAATATTCATTCATTGACAAATCTTTCGCGTTCAATACGAATTGCTTTTATTGCAAATATGTTGCCATAATATTGAATGTCAACTTGACTTAGAAAAAAAAACACATAGTATTTAAAAGAATTTTATGTGTCTTAACTTTTTTAATAATTGCACATACAACATATGCACTGCTATTTAGTAGACAAAACATTGAAATGCTGCAGTTGTCTTTTATCAACCAGAATTAGCTCGTACAGTAGAAATACGGGGATCATCAGAAATCGTTTGTGAAGACAACATCGAACTGGTAAAGAGTAATTTCAATAACGTCGGAACTTTCATGAAAATTTTGTATGATAGAGGAAGACATTCAGTTCTTATCACATTAAAAACCGAAGAAGGTTTTGTGGTTATGTGTAATGATATTGTAAATATGCCCCCAATTTTGGAAGTTATTTTAGTTGTTGACGATATAAACTGGTCCTGTACATATTTTGAGTCTTGACGAGTGACATTTAGGTCGTTTTATTCTACCGATTTATTCACATCTGTAATGTTCAATGTAAATCAAACACGACAAAATATGTATCTGTCAATACTGTATGCCTTTGCAATTTCGCCAAATTAGAAGCTAGGAAGATAAACCTAAAATCGAGTGTGTCACAGACATTACCTTAATTCATGGCATATTCAAAAAAATTAAAACAACATACATACCCACCTATTTTTTACTAGACTTGCACGCATTTTTAATTGACTCGTGCTCAGTTTTGAATTTATGCGTGCAACTAGAAAAGATACTTCAATTTTGTCAAACAATTTACAAATATCATTATAAACATTTTGGCAGGTTTTCCTTGTTTAGCTCGAGCTTTTGTGTAAGCCCAGATTTAAGCATTTTCAAATGACTTTACAATCCATATTTAAAGTTTCTCTACCCGCATTAACCAGTGACTCTTTCACATTTTAGTGATCTGATTAAATAAAATCCTTCGGTACTTCCGTTGTAGAGCCTTCGAATAGAATAAAGCTGAATAGGTAAATACAATTTCTAAACTTATCCATTTTAAAAGAATATGCTTGTTTTTCAACAATCGGATAATGTCCATTGAAGTCCATTTTCTTCAACATGTTTGATGTTATTTTGATGCAAAATTGAATGATTGTGTTGACTCATTATTCATATGCGAGGGTGGGCTTTTTCACATTGCCAATGGCGTCAGCTGTCTGTGGATGGCTCGATTACATGCAAATATATGTTTGTATTCTATTTTCAAGATTTTTGAACTAGTTCGGTGTTGAGACAAAGAGAAGTTTAAAAAACTATGACATGCACGAATGAGTGGATCAACTTTAACTCCATGTAAGATAAATAACTTTACATGTATCTCATCATGAAATGAAACACACTTATCTAGTTTAATGTGTTCTAGCATCGTCATTTTTGGGGTATTTCGTATCGAAATTTGCACCCAACATGATAAGAAGAATGTTCTTCGTATCAAAGCATTTTCGATTATTTCAACAGAAGCATGTCCTTTTAAATCGAATACTTTTAGAAACTTTGCTGCCCTCCAGATTTATTTTCGTCGAGTGATCTACAACGAAAATGTCGCTGGCTCTCATTTAAACAGATCACCAAAATGTGAAAGAGTATTAATGTAAACATTTCCTTTTCAAAAAGGTCAATTATGTTTTTTCGAACATTAACAATCTGTATTTCTTTATAGTGCATCACAAATTGTTCACGCAGAAAGCTAAAGTTAAGTTTGGTTCATATTGTCTAAGTTATTAACACAAACGTCATGATGAAAACAATGTTGTTAAAAAAGCAAACCATGCAGTTTTGGTTTGAACGTAATTAAAAGGAAATCAAATTTGAACTAGTTCCAACATAGATCTTCATACATTGTCTAACTTATTGTTTTCTTAATAAAATTATAAATATGATAGACAAAAACGTTGTATAAAATGCACATTTTTAACGCCGCTTTTCTCTGGATTAATGAGACTTTTATATAAACTTTATATACAACTGTTTCCTTTACATAACAAATAATGCAGTATTGTAAACTCTTTATAAACTTGTCTGACATTTTACATGGACATGTATAAACGGTTGTTTTAAATTTAACATCAAACAACTGTTTTTACTGAGATATAACTTAAACTATACTCTGACCTTAAATATGGAGGTACTTATGTTTAAGGCTGTTTTGTTCTTTCGTTAAAAGTCAATATTGATAAATTTATCAAACCGCAAATCTTTTTCGTCCATTTACCATATTTATAAATCAATTTATCTGACTGTGCTTATATACAAAACTTATTTCACGCAGCTCTTAACTCATAACTGCATTAGCTTTTTGTGCGAAATGGCTGTTTTCATTGAAAAGCCTCCTTTTACAAGTTCAAATTGCTATGCAGCTATAAAAAATGCTTCAATATTTATCAAACTTGGCACAAATGTTGACTGGACCATAGCCTTTGTAACGGCATGCAATCCGTTAACATGGCAACAAAGGGACATCTCAAAAGCACACAAAATCACTCTTGAGTTTTTTTCCCATCAAAACTGATTTTGAAATGCAGCAACTTCTCAACGGATTGAGATAGAGCCAAAGGGTTTTCAGGATTTGTTACACGTTACTTTTTGATCAACCTGATGGCTATTTGAGCCTCTAACAAGTCCAAAATATTCTTGACTATGAGGAAGGGGAGGGCGCTGCTGTCCCCCTTCAGACCCCTTAGCAGAAGGGAGTACATCCCCATCGGCCCTTGTGCACCAACTGATATATCTTTTTATATGGGATGGCGCCGAAAAAGTGATCACTTTTTTAACAACATTTTTCAAACTGAAACAAGTATTTGGGGTCCAATATGGCATTTTTTCACCATTTAAGGCCTCAAAGGGCGTTTGTGAAAAGGCATGAAAAGACGTCTGTATGAAGTGATTGGCTAATACGAAGGAAAACAAGACCCCTGTCAACATGACCATCCCCCGCCGAATGTGTTTGCTCATTGGAAGAATGTATATGTAGTAGAGCAGAATAATTCAATTTAAAGAGGTCTTTTGGTAATGAAAACTGATGACTGAAGTTATAATTACAGATTTAAAACCTATGTGAATATTGATGACTGAAAGGGGAATAATTGAAAAATAATGCAGGGTAGGTTATCAATTTCTTGTACTGCACTCCTCCTCAATTAGATCTTGCCTATATGACTGAAATACTGTTGTGAAAAGGCGTAAAGTGAAACAAACAAACAAAACAATGAGATCTATCCACCTATGAAGTTTCAACTTGATACCTCTAACACGTTTTGAGATAAGCTCCGGACAAAAAGTATGAAAAATAACAAAGGGCAAGAACTCAAAAAGTATAAAGGGTAGAGTTATCATTTTTGCGCACAGTATTCCTCCCAAATAATATAAATCCACCTATGAAGTTTCATGTTGACACCCCAAAGACTTTTTGAATTATGCTCCACTTAGGTGAAAAATTAAGTATGAAAATTATGAAGGGCAAAGTTGTCACTCGTGTGCACTGCACACCTCCTGAGTAAGAAAAATCCACCTATGAAGTTTCATGTTGATATCGCAAAGTCTTTTTGAGCTGTGCTCTGGACAAAAATGAAGTTTAAAAAATAATAAAGGACAATAACTGAAAAATTATGCAGATATTGTGCGATGCACCCCTCCTTAATATAATCTATTAACCTATGAAGTTTCAAATTGATACGAAATGTGTTCCGGACAAAAATGTTGGAAAGAAGGACGGGTGGACGGACGGATGGACGGATAGACGAAGATTATTATTATATCCCTGGGGAATAATAAAAGAACGAATTCAAGTTGGTATCTTTCTTGATAAAAAAATAATGAAAAAATAGGTTTTACAGAATATCTGATACTTTGAATACTGAACGGAATAATAAAATCGAATTTCCAAATTGTCCATGCATTTAAGCAACAGGCGACTTTTTCAAAATTGAGAGCAAATGAATTGAAATTGTTGAAAAAGTAAAATTCTTTCAATCTATCTAACCTTAATCGAGAAAAAAAGATACCTGCTTTTATAGATTCCCCTACAAGTAGTTTAAAATAGATATGTAGACTTAACTTTATCTAACTAACTAAACACATATATATCAATAGACTACTATTAAAGCAGACACAAATCTATCTAAACAAAAACAAATATATCACGTGATAGACGATCGAACCAGTAAATTTTTAGCACGTCTCGGTTAATTGTCCCGCCATACTAACGCCATTTAGATAGGAGAGTTTAGCCAGTTGACTGGGTAATGTTTCTCTAACATGTCTTCGACACAATCATTGGTGGAACATTGCTTGATTGTCGATGGAGCACCTAAATCATTAAACAAAAGTCAGCTGTTGGGGATAATTCAAAGACATAATTCAACAACAAACATTTTGAAACACCGTTTTCAGGAAAATAAACAATTGAATCAGTGGGTTCTTTGGCTTAACTCGTCAAAAAGTGAGTTATGTAATTTCATTATTTTATTAGAAATTTAATATATTTCCAAAGAGAAAGATATATGTATTTATATAATTTTATTGGGCACAAAGTGATCGGTTTGTATTAAATAATATCACAATATAAAATGATGAGAAGAGACAATTTGAAATAATTGTTTTTGAAAAATTGATTAATTGTAACTCTTAACTTAACGAACAAAGATTTAATTAAAGGGTTGCTGTTTTAATCATCAATAAGGGTTTGTATTTGTTTTTATTTTGTAAATCTGTTATTACACTCATTCTGTTGGACGCTTGTAAAATATAACAACTTAAAAAAAAACTAAAAAAACAACAAAAGAACAAAAAAAAAACAAAAAAAACTGTGGAGGAAGTGTAAATAATTCATCATTTTGGTAAGGATTTAAGTCACACTGACTGTTGTAAAGATCGTTCAGCGATATATTAAGTTAGGGCAAGCTTTTATGTAAACCTTTATATTCAGGTCATATTTATACACTTTAAAAGATAAAAACAATGATGCAGCCATTTTGATTTGAGTTATTGTTGAGCAAATGAAATATTGTGTAACTAATGTTTGTTATAACTGATGGTTTTAATTATTCGAATAAATATGTTTCATTTTTTTAGACCCCGAAACGGGTAGCCGCGTTTATTTTTAACATAAATAAATATATACTACAGTAACTATTAAAAGTTATATACATTTAAAGAAAAATACACATGCTGGACCACAAGTTTTCAATGTTTTCGCATTCACATGGGCACGGTTTTTCGAGATGATCCTTGGCCTCATTCATATGATTTCCAATATCTTGCCATGTCTGTTTTAAACGATAAATTCTGGATATACATGTAAATATGGAATATACGGTGGCCAAAAGATGCCATCGTCGCATTTATTATCACAGCGTATACTCAATGCTCGATAACACTACCGCTTGCAAGAGAGTAAAACGCAAAAATTGCCGATTTCTTACTGAAAATTATTAAATAAGTTCAAGAAAGATCAATCATTGAGGAATCGTTACATTTATAACTTAGTCTAGATGTTTCATATAAGAGATTGTTTCTGGTCTAGGCCCTATGGTAAAACATATAATTTTCCGAAAAGTACGATTTCTCACCCAAATTCCTCAACAAATGTCACAATTGGGAATTCGAACGCCGATTTCAAGCTTTAAGGGCAAGCCCTCTTGATACTTTGAAGACTAATCATGTGTACTTTATACGGAAATTAAACACTATTTGGTTTAGACACAGTGGTTATGGAAAAACGACAAAGAAATTGCCATTGGTGTTGTTTCCTAGCTCTACGGTTGCTTGCTAACTCATTGTATAGCTGCTTGGAAAACACAATTAAAACAGTGTACGGTTGTTTGAGAGCCAACTATATTGTAATTTCTTGATACTTTATTATCCCCCGCCGAAAGTCGGCGGGGGATATAGAAATAGTCTCCGTCCGTCCGTCCAACCTTCCGTCCGTCTTTCCGTCCGAGATTTTTGTCCGGAGTATATCTATAAAAATATTTGAAGCATCAACTTGAAACTTCTTAGGTGGAAAGATCTCATTAAGGAGGAGTGCAGCTCACAAGAATGATAACTCTACCCTGCATAATTTTTGAGTTATTGCCCTTTGTTATTTTTCAAACTTAACTTTTGTTCATAGCATAACTCAAAAAGCCTTTGAGATATCAACATGAAACTTCATAGGTGGATAGATCTCACTCATTAGGTGTACAGTGCACAAAAATGATAACTTTACCCATCATATTTTTCAAGTTATTGCCCTGTTATATTTCATACTTAATTTTTCACCTGAGTGGAGCATAACTCCAAAAGTCTTTGAGGTGTCAACATGAAACTTCATAGGTAGATAGATCTCACTGAGGAGGGGTGCAGAACACAAGAATGATAACTCTTCCCTAATTATTTTTTCAGTTATTGCCTTTTGTTATTTCAGCCATCAGTATTCATCTTGGTTTCAAATCTGTAATCACTCCAGCCATCAGTTTTCATTATCAAAAGACCTCTTAAAATTGAATTATTCTGCTCTACTACATAAACATTCTTTCAATGAGCAAACACATACGGCGGGGGATGGTCATGTGAACATGGCTCTTGTTGTTTTAATTACTGTTAAATTAATTAGCGCTCTAAAACATATACTAGTATATACGGCGTATTTACATGTCAATACTTTGGAAATAGGCAAAGTTATAAAAAACACATAGTATTTTAAAGAATTTTATGTGTCTTAACTCTTTTAATAATTGCATGTACTGCCATTTAGAAGACAAAACATTGAAATGCTGCAGTTGTTTTTTTTATCAACCAGAATTAGCACGTACTGTAGAAGTACGGAGATCATCAGAAATTGTTTGTGAAGACAACATCGAACTGGTAAAAAGTAATTTCAATAACGTCGGAACTTTCATGAAAATTTTGTATGATAGAGGAAGACATTCAGTTCTTATGACATTAAAAACCGAAGAAGGTTTTGTGGTTATATGTAATGATATTGTAAATATGCCCCAATTTTGGAAGTTATTTTAGATGTTGACGATATAAAAAAAAAACAATACACCAACATGGTACATGTAATTGATGTAATGATTTTTATTAGATAAATATTGAATGTCTTATTGGCATAAATTTCAAGTATGAGCTTTTATTGCTCTCAATATTAACATAATGTGCTTTAAAAACATCCTTCACCATAGTGAAGTAGTTAAATGGTTAGAACTGACGATAAAATTTGTAATGTTTTGAACGTTAAGAAGTCTTATTTCAAAACAAGTTCCGTGATCAGAAATGCAAACGATATTTCAAACAACTGGACGTCTATTTTTTTCGGATTATGCAAACAACCGTACAGTGAGTAAACCTCAAAGGTGTAATTTTTCAAAGCGTCAAGAGAGTTTTAACGAATATTAGAAGTAAAACTTCGAAATTGTTGCTTGAAGATGACAAGAAGGACAGTTTTGACAAATCGAGGTGAGAAATTGAATCGATTTAAAAAACTATTCTTGTTGCAACGCGGAACATATCTGGAAATATCTGTTCGATGAAAGTCCCACTCATGAAAATAAATATTTCTTCAATGATCGATCTTAACTGAACTATTTTACCTTTATTTTAGTCTTAATTCGCGTTTGCCGTGTATAACTTGATCGCTAGAAAGCGGAAGTTATAGCGGACAATGTAGTGTACACTGTGCCGGTAAAATGATACGGTCATAATAAGCTCGTTTTGTACTTTTGTTATATATCATAACTATAGGGATTGTTTTTAAATGATGACAAGGTGGCTTCGACAATGCGTTTTGTTTGTTTTATTCATACATGAAGGAAGTATACATAAGATATAATGTTAAAAAATGACACAGGTCAAAACTAAACACATGTTCAAGTTTACATTCCATGATCAAACCACGTAAAATCCTTTTTTGTTTCAAAAATAATGCAAAAAGTAGTTTCAATGGCAAGTTTAAACAAGAAGTAATATTATATGCTTACACATAAAAGTGTTCCATTTAACATTTTTCCCCCAAAATTTAGACCGGTGTCGCGTTATAATCACACGGTTTATACATGTTTTTTAAAACTTGCCTGTAACTTTGTTTGAAAACAAAGCGCTTTAAAAATTGGTATAAATCTTCAGCAGAGAACAATTATTTCGGTGCATGTATTTGAATATTCTGACAGTATTTATTTTTTTAAGAATACATGCTTGCAATTGAGCTAAATCGGCAAATTTTGCATCTTTCGTAGGGCATTTTGATAAAAACTTGCAAGGTTCTAAAAGTATTAAATTCATGAAAATAAATGCTTTTAAAACTTTTCAGGGTGTTTAACTTTCTTTCTTGTCCATTGTTTTATTTCTAAATGAACTAGAACTTATCTTAAGCTGTAGTTGAAAATGGCCAATTTCTCCGAAAACTAAGTCAAATTACCCGAAAATTTTGCCCGAAGGGGTACTAAAAAATTAAAACTTGTCATTCATTACCATACACATTTATTCTTAAGAATAAAAGGCTAATAACTTGTCCTATATTTTAATATTTACAATGCAATCATTGTTTTTAATCAACAAACGCCATAAATTTAAATAACACGATTTAAAAAGGCTTGTATCCTTCGGCCGTTTTTCAAAATGGCGGACAAATCCTGTTAAATGTGATCTATGTACTTTCTTTTAACTGATTAAGTACAGTAATATTTTAAATGAACAAAAAAGTTTTACTCTTTCCTTAGTTACTGTAGCACAAAAGCGCTGAAAATTGTTTGTTTGAACTGCTTTCAGCGTTATTCATTCTCGCCGATGAATTGCTGTCGATGTTATCATTAAAAAGAGGCGAACAGCTGATGACGTTACTAAAATTTTGATGACACTCAAACTTAAATACTTTTATAACTTTAACAGAAAAGCTTTTTTGAAGGTATGGTTTGGAATATTTAATGACGAAATGTTGACGTTTACGAATCGTATGAAAAAAAGATTTATTATTATGAGAAAATATAAGTTTTTGTGACTTTAAACTAAAAATACCGCATCCCATCGGATAGTGTGGTTATTTTCAGTCAAAATTCACGTGAAGTAAAGCTTGCACAGGGCCAGAAATTTGTTAGCATGCTCCTTTGAATGTTTACTATGAATCCATAACATTGATTTACTCGAACACAGTTGGGATATGTTAAAAATAGATGAATACTTACCGTACGTCAATTGTATTCCCCGCGCCGATATGTATATACTGGTACAGCTGTCGATTCTGCAACAGCTGTCTATCCATTTAATTGTACGGTGTGGTGGTATAAATACGGGGTTCCCCGGCGATTCCCGATGCCAAGCCAATAGAACACGGTTCTTAACTTCCCTCCTGGTGAGTGCCTGTGAGCCCCGGTTGTATTAAACATTTTAATACAACTGTGGTGATCTCCCGGTTCACCACGGTTTGTCCCGGTACTTCACTAAATCGCTACAGCCCAATGCCGT